CCCCCGCCCCATCAGTCCCGCTCCAGTCCTAGATGTGTGTGAGCGGGACAGTCCCAGTGAGGTAGTGCTGCTGGACGCTGGTGTAGCCCCTCTGTGCTGTCGTGGGGTCGCCGGCGTCGCCTCCTGGTCCAGGAATGTACATGCTGATCATGTCCCTGAGGTCTCCCTGCAAAGGCCCCCGGTGGTGGTTGGGCGTGCCGGTCGGAGGCGAGTGGGACACTGGTTCTGCCTTCACCATGGACATGGTGACCGGGCTGGGCTGCTGGGGACTGCTGCTGTAGGACATGGGGCTGTGGAGAGGACGGGACAAGTCAGACGTCACCACATGCACACAGGATCAGGTTCAGGCAGTAAAAAAAGCAGACCACGTGAGAACCTGGTTCTCTATGAACCCACATTCACAGGAAGCAGCAGACGTCTCTCCGGATTCGTTTTAAACACAGTGATCCTCATGCTGCTCTCAGCTCCTGTCCTGAGCTTCATCATGTTCACATCAACCAACACAGAGAGCACACATGGAGACGTTCACAGGGTTTCTGTTAGAAAGCTAATGAAGATCACTTCAAGTCACGCAGTTTCAGCTGTGCACTGCTGCTGCAGGTACAGAGGCTGGAAATCCAACACAGATCCTGTCTGACTGAAAACTCCTCCCCAATTCCTTAACACGTTCACAGGGTTTCTGTTAGAAAGCTAATGAAGATCACTTCAAGTCACGCAGTTTCAGCTGTGCACTGCTGCTGCAGGTACAGAGGCTGGAAATCCAACACAGATCCTGTCTGACTGAAAACTCCTCCCCAATTCCTTAACATCTATATAAAACAACTTTAAAGCAACTTTTTATCCATTTAAAAAAATAAATTTTTAAAAAAGTGAAAATGTGGATTAAAAAAAAANTTCATATTTTCATTACCTCATCAGCTGATGAAGACAGTGTAATACGGTTGGAAGCTCCAGAAGAAGTAAGTTGACTTTGAGCTGGAAAGTTTGAAGGTGTTGTATTGGACTGTGTGTTCCTAATAAAGTGGCTACTGAAGATTTCTATATACATATATATAAAGACACAAAGACATTAACACGATATTAATGAAAAAAGGATTTGTTCTTTTTATTAATATTGTCATGAATCCCATAACAAAGATTTTTTAATCAAAAAGGAATCAGACTCTTAGTATAAGAGCCTAAAAATAATGTGTACATTATTTACATGGATGCTACACAGAGGAAGTCTAACACACGGCAGCATTTACACACAAAGAGATTCATCCTAACGTCAGTACAACAGTTAACTTTTAAAATACTGGGGCACCAGTGTAAACATTCATCATCACTTCCTCAGCGTCTGTTTCCAGTGCATGTTTAGTTAGAGATGAATCTAGCACAGTCAATACTGAGTGTCTGCAGAAAATCAAAGTTTCCTTTAGGTCCGTAGCAGCAGAGACAGCAGGTTAGACAGAAACAGACATGACAGAGGCGTCAGGCTGGGAGAGGCTGATTAAAAAAACACTCCTTTATTATCTTATAGAAAGTGAAAAACTTTAGGAAACAAGGTGGAGATTTAGTCTGAGACTTCCTCTCTAACAAACAGCTGATTCAAATAAAACACGTCTGAAGTCCCTCTGTCAGTCCAGTGGACCTGGTGGAAGACACAACTTGCGAGTCTTAAACCTGCTGTTTGGAGTCAAACAACTGAAATGTGCCGTTTCATATTAAATTCACTTAATGAGCTTAAAAAAAAACAAAAAAAAAAACAAAACAAAAAAAAACAACACAACTCCTGCCTAGAGCAAAGTGACAATGAAAACACAGACGTTGCCGCGACAACGCAACATCATTTACATCAGAAGGTCAAAACCTAAAACTAATTATAGCAAATAAAACTGGCACAGGCAGCAAACACACACTCTGCTGGATCTGGACCCGCAGGATGTGGAACCAGGGTTCTCCATCCTCCAATCGTAGAAGCCGCCATGTTGTGTTTACTTCCTGTGGATGCAGCGCTGATTGTCCAACAGGTGTCCAACAGGTGTCCTCCGTGTCGTCCAACAGGATTTCAGCAGTGAGAAATATAAAAATACAAACAGCACTAAAACCAAAGCCAAGGCACAAAGAGTTCATTTAAAAACAGCTCTGTTATTCAAGTTGTGCATTTCCTTCCCGTTTCCCCACCGGCACCCAGCTGTTCCCAGCTCCGCCCACACAGCGGGACGGGACGGGACAGCCCCCCTCCCCTCCCCTCCCCTCCCCCGGCCTCTCTCTGGGCGTGGTGGAGCTGTGTGAGTGCCAGCGTCACAAGTGTTTAAGGAAAAATCTTTTGACTCATTATGAATAAGTTCTAAAAATATAAAAAGACAAAAGTAGCATTTTGTAATATGTACACAATAAACAGGCGTGGCCCCGGTCGTCACGTCTGCTGGAGGGCGGGGGGGTGGGGGGGGGCACAGTGGTGGAGGGGGTTTATTTGAACTGATGTGGCACCAAAGAGGTAGAAAAACAGCTGTTCAGTGATACAAACATCGTGTGTCTGTGTCTGCAGGCACATGAGAGACGGTCTGAGAGACGCCGTCCGCCGTCTAAACCCCGCCCCCCCTCGCACCAGACTCCACCTCCTGTCCGGCCAGCTGTGCATCATGAGCATTTCTGGTTCTCCCCCCTCAGTTCGACCCCCCCCCCCGCCCCATCAGTCCCGCTCCAGTCCTAGATGTGTGTGAGCGGGACAGTCCCAGTGAGGTAGTGCTGCTGGACGCTGGTGTAGCCCCTCTGTGCTGTCGTGGGGTCGCCGGCGTCGCCTCCTGGTCCAGGAATGTACATGCTGATCATGTCCCTGAGGTCTCCCTGCAAAGGCCCCCGGTGGTGGTTGGGCGTGCCGGTCGGAGGCGAGTGGGACACTGGTTCTGCCTTCACCATGGACATGGTGACCGGGCTGGGCTGCTGGGGACTGCTGCTGTAGGACATGGGGCTGTGGAGAGGACGGGACAAGTCAGACGTCACCACATGCACACAGGATCAGGTTCAGGCAGTTAAAAAAAGCAGACCACGTGAGAACCTGGTTCTCTATGAACCCACATTCACAGGAAGCAGCAGACGTCTCTCCGGATTCGTTTTAAACACAGTGATCCTCATGCTGCTCTCAGCTCCTGTCCTGAGCTTCATCATGTTCACATCAACCAACACAGAGAGCACACATGGAGACGTTCACAGGGTTTCTGTTAGAAAGCTAACGGAGATCACTTCAAGTCACGCAAACACAGCGACGATGAAGAAAGTGTGTGGACACAGTTTCAGCTGTGCACTGCTGCTGCAGGTACAGAGGCTGGAAATCCAACACAGATCCTGTCTGACTGAAAACTCCTCCCCAATTCCTTAACATCTATATATAACAACTTTAAAGCAACTTTTTATCCATTTAAAAAAATAAATTTTTAAAAAAGTGAAAATGTGGATTAAAAAAAATGTGATTGTAAAGAAAACGATTGTGTCAAATCAGCAGCATTAAAATTAAAACTAATGAACTTAGAATCAGTTTTACTCAGACCTGATTATATATATATATATATATGTGTTAAAATCTTTACGCACAACAGGAAAGCTTGTTTTTGACACCAACATCCCAAACTTCAGAGACCAACGTGTTGCAGGGTCTGAAGAACCTCAGTTTTCAAACTGTTTGACTTCACCAGCAGCAGCTGCAACATTCAACAGCTGCTTAAAAAAAATCAATTCTCTTATTAATGGAAAATATAAAAAAAAAACAGTGTTAACAACTGCAGACAACGCAGAGCTGCTGACACTGATCCAGAGAGCTGTTCTCAGATCTGGCTCCTCATCAGAATCACTTGTTTTAAACTTGATACTCTGCCACATCCAGTTTTGTTGTAATGGAGGATTTTTTTTATTTTTTTATTTTATTTTGTTAACCGCTTCCATTCTGTTACTTCCTCCTTTAAATGGGACAAAGCAGCTCTTCAGCCAATCAGCTGCTGACAGTGAGTCAGAGAGCAGCAGGTTATTCATGATGAGCAGCTGCATGTTGAGACAGAGCCGGGATTAGGAATCAGGAATCAGGAATCAGGAATCAGGAATTAGGAATTAGGAATCAGGAATCAGGAATCAGGAATTAGGAATTAGGAATTAGGAATTAGGAATCAGGAATCAGGAAGTGCCGCAGGTTTGGTCACCTGGTTCACAGTGACACCTCTGATTTACAGTCAAGTGGATTAAACAGGAGCACTGGTCTCTCTACATCATCAGTGGGAGGAGCCACTCCTCATTAAATAAACATATTAACCTGTCATGTCACCTGTCCGTCATATGGTAGAAAAAGAGACCCGGTGTGGGGGAGTGTGTTCTGGGGAACAGCTGCTCTACTGACCAGGATCAGAGTCTGACACCTGGATCTACACTAGACTACATGACTGGAACTGAAAATGGAAACAAATAGATTTTAAAAAAAGTTAGGAAGCAGACATGACATTTGGGTCGTGAGAGACAAAGTAGGATGAGACAAGGAGTCATGGAGACATGTATTGAAGAGACGCCTGCATGCAGACAACATCTCACTCACTTCAACCTTCAAACATTATGTCTATGTTACACCACGGAGCATCCAGTCAGTTGATCAGGTCTAGTTTTAATGACTTCAAAGAGAGAGTTTAAATAATTTGAATTTAATTTAGATTGTTTTTTCCAGACCAGTTGTATTTTTGTCACAAACCTCAACCTCTCTAAAGATCTGAGTATCAGTTCTGACCTGTTCTTAGTTTAAACTTCACAATCTGGCCTTGGACCCAGCTGCTGTGATTCAGTGGGACCGGACGAGCTTCAGCAAGTCCAGGATGACTCAGAGCTTCAAACATCAACTGAAAACACAGGTCAAAACATCTGAGGCTTTAAAATGAGCTCCAGTTGATTCATCAGTCAAAAGGAGCGTGGATATGATCGCTGTTTAAATAAACTTCATTTATCATTTATCTACGTGCGGAGTGTTTGCAGTTTGCAGGGAGGCCTGAGGCAGGAGGCAGGGACCCTGAAGTGTAAGTGGGGACAATGGCTTGCAGGAGCAGGGGACTGTGGGTAGAGGACCACACACAGAGCAGCCCTGCCTGCCATCAAGTCATCCTGATCAACATTCCAGGCAGGACCCAGCCCAGAGCACAGTGTCACATGCATAACAAGTAGGCAGCAGACTGAAGCCTGTTGTTCCATCAGTGACTCAGTGGGACTGAATGTACTTTACTTCAACCTGATTAAAGCCTCTTCTCTAACAGATCTCTCTCAAGTCAGTGTCACAGCAGGTGCAACTGGAAACAAGAGTTCAGATGTTTGAGAGGAGTTGGTCAACTTCTGTTTTATTTTCCTTTTCTCAGTACTGGTAGTTTTGCCTCCAAATTAAAAGTTTCTGTCTAATAACATCAAGTGACAAACTTAGAATAAAAACTTTAATAAACGTAGAATAAAAACTTTAATACACCGCTGATTAAAACGATTCAAAAGAGACAAATTGTTTTAAAATCAGTGAAGCTGTTTAAAAAAAAACCCGCCCTTCATTGTGGGACCGGGACCTGGACTGTGAGACTCACCTGTACGAGTTGGCTCCGTTCATGTACGTCTGTGCTGCAGTCATTGTAGGTGGGTACTGGAGCGCGGACAGGTCATACCGGTGGAGCTGCTGCGTGTAGCCGAGCGCCTCGCCCTGCATGCCCGCGTACCCTCCGGTGGGGCCCCAGCCGTAGCTCTCCATCCTCGGACTACCACCCTGGCCCTGCGCCGCCGCCGCCAGCAGGTTCCCCGCTGACAGCGGGTACTTGGCCACCTGAGCGTCCTTCTTGAGCAGCGGCTTTGTCTTGCGGCGCGGCTTGTACTTGTAGTCGGGGTACTCCTTCATGTGGACGGCCCGCAGCCGCTTGGCCTCGTCGATGAAGGGCCGCTTCTCGGCGTCCGTCAGCAGCTTCCACTCGGCCCCCAGCCGCTTACTGATCTCCGAGTTGTGCATTTTGGGGTTTTCTTGAGCCATCTTGCGCCGCTGACCCCGGGACCAGACCATGAACGCGTTCATGGGCCGCTTCACTTTATCCATGGGGTCTCCTCCAGGTGCGCACGCCGTCTTGGAGCTCGGGTGAGAGTTTCCGTTGCTGCCCATGCTCCCGGTCATGTTGCCGGTGACTGGTGACATTCCCTGGGAGGTCTGGTGAGACGGGGGCTGGCCGGTTGGCTTCAGCTCGTGCTCCATCATGCTATACATGTTGGACAGGTGCGGAGAAGTTGACGAAGTACACAACAGTTGGAGCCTTTTGTCGCCGTCCACCTGGCGACGTGTGGCCAGGTTTCCCTACAGGTTCAACCGGAGCGCCGGGTGATCCGAATCAACTAATTACTCCCAACACACCCGGAGGCGAAGCGCGCGCGGACCAGAGTCTACTTCTCCTGGATGAGGAGCGTGTTGGCGGCGGTCATCACTGTCACAGAGAGCAGTCAGTGCGGTTCGGACTCTTCTCTTTCAGACCTTCAGCTCTCTCACTCAACTCTTCTGCCCGCTCCTCCAAAAAGTTCCCCAGCCCTAGTGCAGGCAGCCGCGTGCGGACCAATGGGAGCGCGAGGAGCTTCCGTATGTGCGCGTGCATTTGCAACTGAAAAGCCTCCTGACTGTGCACGAGACACTTGTTGAGAGGCGGAGTGAGGAGAGAGGCTTTCGGCACACACGTATCTTAATAATTGATCGTTATCAACTGTTGTGATCGATTTTTAAAGTTGAACAAAGTTGTGAGAGAGTCAGTCAGACTGGAGAGCACACACAGAGAGAGAGAGAGAGAGACACCTATTACCTTCGGAGAGGATTAAGGCCACGTGCGAAAATGTTTTTTTTTTTTTTTTGTTTGTTTTTTCTGATTCTGACTTTAAACTCAGAACCAGAATTCTGAAAAAGTGAGTTTAAAAAGTGAATTCAAAATCAGATTCTGACTTTGAATTCACTTTTTTTCAATTAATTCTGACATTAAACTCAGAAACTCTGTCTTTAGCTGTTTCTTTAGTCAGAATTTATGAGTTTAAAGCCTGAATTCAAATGGTTTCTTAGAATTCGGTTCTAATCTTGTTAACACTTTTTTTTTCTAAGAAGACTTTTTTAAAGTCAGAAATCTGTGTTTAAACTCTACTTTAGGTCAATCAGAAATATATGGAGATCTGCTGGAGGTCCACCTGCAGTCCACTGCTGAAACCCTGTAAACTCTCTCAATTCTGATTAAAGTCAGAATTCTAAAAAAAGAAAGAAAATCACATGTGGCCCTAATCCTCTTCTGTAGTTATCCATCTGCAATGTCCATCAGTTATTTTAGACCGCGCTTCGATTTTTGTTTAAGTACATCTTCATGTTTATTGGAATATGGTGGTTTATCTGTACATGTGAAACCCACAGTCCACTGCTGTCTAACTGTCCTGTAAAACAGATGTGTTACTTTATATTGAGCTTCATCTTCAGAAAACTGGCAGCAACAAATAATATCAGGAACTTCATCACCTCTACCTCACTGTGGCCATAACTCATACATTCATTCGCTCATTATGACACAATTGAACTCAAATGTCTACAAGGGGAAAATGAAGTGATGACATTTTATATCCAAAAGGTCACAGGTCAACTTCACTGTGACATTCTAAAATTCTGCAAAAACACTTCTGGCCATTATTCAGTACTGTAACAGTGACACTGTAGCAGACATCCCCCCCGTCCTGCTCCATCATACTCCACCCACCTTCACCTACATCCTCCTGCAACCTGAGTCACAGCAGCTGATACCAGCCTCAGAGTGAGAGGAGCAGTGGCCCAGTGTTCATGTCATTTAACGGACGGTTCCCACTGTTCCCCTGGGAGCTTCTTGTCCTGATCTGTGTCTCACCACAGTTTGATCACAGAGGTCTACAGAGAGTTCACTGGACTTCATGGTCTCTGTCCTGTCCTGCAGAAAAAAAAGTGACGTAGTTGCAAATGAACAAATAATTAAATTACCAGAAACTAACTGCCACATCACTATCTATCTATCTATCTATCTATCTATCTATCTATCTATCTATCTATCTGAGTTTATGGTTCTCCATCTTCCCTGCAGGTTGCTTGCTGACTGTAGGTTGCAACGTCAGGTGACAGAAATTCAGTGTCAGGACAACGCCGAGACAGCTGATGTCGGTATTCTGTCGGTTTTAAGTTGTGTTGTTAAGGAACCAAAATCCGACGTCGTCCAAACGTCTCCAGCATCCTGACATAAAACACTGACACTCTGGTTGTGAGAAAAACCCAACGTCTGCACAGCTCAAAGTCCAGTGTTGACTTAACTCCCACAGACTCTTTTCAGGGTTTTATATAGCTCCACACTCCAGAGTTAAATCGACACTTTCAAAATAGTTCAATGTTTAACACTGTGTCAGAGTTAAGTCACAAAACAGAGTTAAAATAACACTAAGGGATTGACATGTAACACGGCTCCCAGTTGCAGTCATTTATCCAGTGGTTAAAACATTGTGAGTGACGGTATAATGTACAAACTTTCATGTGCAACATTGTATGAACTTTGAATATCAAACAGCTTATGAATTTTAAGCTCAGACATTTTTACTGTACCTTTCCTCACTTTGTAACACTCTGAAAGCATGATGGTGGTCATCAAACATCCTCTCTGTGAAGAGCTTGTTCGTCAATAAAAGAAAACGATTGTCAACCAAAAGTAAATCAGTGATTTTGACAAAACACTGGCCTGTCTTCTTCTGTTTTTGAAATCTTTAAAAGAATCTTTGAACAGCTAGTGTTTGGCTTCAAACCTCATAGACCACACATATAATAAGCTCCCAATTTTCCTCATAGAAGTTTAGAAGTTACATCAGTTTCTATGTGGATACGAGTGCTTAAATAGTTTGTGGTGAACAAACATGGAAATACTTCAATGAGTTATGTGTAGAATTTTTTTTCAAACCATATAATGGCTTCAGTTGTAGGTTTTCCTGGAGAGTCTTCCAGTGCATTTCAAACATATCTCTTCCACGAAGGATCACCTTAGGATCATCCTCCCTGTATCATTCTTCTCAATCAAACAAAGGTCACAGAAATGGCGGCTACTGAATGATTCATTAAAGCGAAGAATTGCGTGTGCATCTCCAGATTATCTCCTGTGATCGGTGAGATTGTACCTTGTACCTGTTCGTCAGAGAGTGGAGGACTTAGCCCCTGGCTTTCCAGTCGTTTTTCTATCATTTACCAACGGTTCCAGTATAACATCAAAACCGTACTTGTGCAGATGTTGTGCGTGAAAAAGTGATATCAAATGAAATCAAAACATCAAAACTGAATTCAATTTTGGGGGCAGGTTTTCTTACAACAACAAAAAAGACAGCCAATTTTGTGGATTCTACGTTTGGAGCAAAGGGGATTGGCTGTTTCAAAATCATCATAGTATATAAAAATATATAAAAGTATCCTTCACAGGTGCCTGATCATAAGTACCAGATGTCTGATTTCACCTGCTGTCGTATCTCACTCCCGGTGTTACTTTTATTGGCTCAACGACTCCCCGTTTGAGGGTGAAGTATTTATTCCGCTTCCATTCAGTATTAAGATTTGTGAATGGGTTTTCCAGTTTTCCCAAAAATTAATTTTATCACAGATATGTTGGGGTCAGTTAAAGGTAAAGCAGAAATAGCGGTATGCTTTGCATGTGAGTGAAGCTCACTTGTTGCACTTGTTGTTCAATGCCCACCTGGGACCTGGCCAGGACACAAGTGCGTCCCAGCCGGGTCCATCACTTCTTACTGTCCCCTGGAAACACTTCTGTAGTGTTGTGAGTATTTGCAGCTCATGTGTTGTCAAACATGATGAAGGTGTTTTCTGTGCGAGTTAAGTAAGACACCCACGGTCGCTCCTGATTGGTTCTTATCAGCCTCAACTACCAGTGGTGAATGCGACATGATAATGAATTGCAAGTGTTCTTGAACTTGTTGTCTTTGCCAGCAGCTGTTACATTCTGCATTTTAATGCTACAACTATCTTTGCTGTCCTCATTCGTAGTATATTCTGAAACGAATGAACTGCAGAGTAGACCATCTATTTCCTGTTTTCACTGGAATGCACATGCCCAGTGTACATGAATGGTCATGTACTGTATGTGTTGTCAGGTTTGTTAGTCTGGACGGAGATAACTCATAGATTATCATAGACTACTTTGCCTATAGACCTTTGGCACAAGCTAATATTCAGGCAAAATGATCCCTTCGATGCCATCATCAGACTTGCCTTCTAACTTGCACTGAAGCAGGATGTAGCAGGACTTCTAGTGCAGCAGGAATTCTTTCAACTGCACAGAAAAACCCAAACAAAAGACCTGATTCTCTCCTCGACAGAGTGATACCAGTCAGTGGAGTGAACAGGAAGTTACCTGAGGAGTGAAAATCAGCCAGTCGGATGTTGAACAGACACTCAGGGTGGAAGGTAGTTTATTGGCACATGGTGCACAGAAGAAGAGGGGGAGGGAGGGAAATATAGGCCCATATGCACACAAAAACACACCTAACATGATCTGACATCCTTTTGCCTGTGTGTCTCAGAATTATTGTATATCAAAACTATTATGTCTGTGCAGGAAAGGTTTGTGTTAAAATGACCACTGTGCTAAGTTAGAGGACTTTCATCACCATGGTTACAGTAAGGCTGGGGAGGGATTGTGGTCATGGTGACTGTTGGTGCAGGTGAGACAGGTGAGATTTCCCAGTTCCTCATTTTTGTGTACATGAGCAAGTGAATGAGGATGGACAGGTGTTTTATTTCTCCGTGTGTGAGACTGAAAATGTGACGCGTGTCATGCAGGTGTGTGTGTGTGTGTGTGTGTGTGTGTGTGTGAGTGTGTGTGTGTAACCAGCTGTGTGTGTCAGAGTGTGTTTTCCTAAGTCAGTTGCAGAGTGCATTATGCAGATGTGTGTGTGCGTGCTGCAGGTGTGTGTTTGTGGCCATGTGTTTGTGACTAATTGGGAATTGTGAGGCTCCACTCTCCCGTTTCCATCTCCATGACAACCTTGTGTGGAATCCCTTCCAAACCTTGCCCTTTCCCCCCTCTTCTTCCTCCCCCCTCCCCCTCCTCCTCCTCTCTGCTCCCTGGCTTTACTCTTTCAAAAACAACTCACCAACACTCTCACTCTCGGCTTTTCTTCGTCTGTCTCACTTCTTCTGTGGCTTCAGACGGAGTGGCAGTGGAGTTTCTCCCTCTGTCCCCTCACACATTTTTCTTTTACACTTGTGTGCGCATGTTGCATCGGTGTGTGTCACATCAGACACAGAAGAAGCCAACATGGCAGTGGGCTGGGAGAGGTGAAGTTTTCAGTATTCTCCCTCCCTGTCCCTCTGCTTCTCTACAACTGATGCACGTCCATTCAAATTCAGTCATTACTACAATTTCACATTTTCTTTGACTCGTTGATGCAGGTGTCAAATGATTTTCTAATGAATGAAACAAGACTTGTTTTGTTATT